ATATAGTACCAAAAAAACTGATAACAAAAAAATTGCACTTCTTTTTTTGAAGGATTCCACATTCCTGTACATAGGTCGATTGCTAGAAGGATTTGGAGCTGGGATTATCTCGTGCACGACCAGTTGAGGCTTCTTGCATTAGCATATTCATAGTTTTAGGAAAAAATGGTTGTATAATTTAAACATGTACGCATTTCACTACTCAAGCCCCTGTGTACATAACCTTTTTGTAGCTCTCTGCCTGTCACCACTTGCGTAATGCTGACTTATGTTTTTGGCATGTTTCTCCCTTGGAGTGGAGGGTGCTTGCTACTGTAGGTAAAATTGTAAAACTCTTTAAACCTCAATGCTAGCTTAGTTATACAAGTTTGTTTCACTAACTCTTTAGTTTTGCTTCTCTTGTCACACCTTTACTTTCTCCTATGATCATTTGTTTGTTTCTAACTTTTGGTTTTTTTTTAAATCGTAATTTCAGTTGTGGAATTGATCAACAACTGTATGTTTGACATAATTTTTACCAAGTCCTGCATGTGTCCCCTTTACTTTTATTATTTTAGGAAGTATCTCTATGCATAATTGCTATAGAACATACAGAGGCAAAGTATAATTTCTGATATATAAAACCTTATAGATGAAGTAGTTATTACATAAGACTTATTTAATTAATTCCGTCATCAATGATGTACCTGTGAATTTACAGTGAATTAGCCAACATATCCAACAAATTTCGCGATGAACTGGAGACATCTGCTTATAAAGAACATATTTTTTGATGGATACTTGCAGTTGAAAGCAAGGCTTATTATAGTAACTTAACTGTTATCTGAAAGAGGACAGGCTTCTATAGACTCTAGAGTTGCACCAACGGTTACAACCGTTGGTGCTGTTTTTTGCACCAACGGTTGTAACCGTTGGTGCCATTTTTTTCATGATTTAAATTTTTTAAAAATATTTAATTATATTTTTACTTGTACCAACGGGTGCAACCGTTGGTGTAGAAATTACACCCGTTGGGACAGTTTCAGCCCCAACGCTACTTGCTGTAACGGGTGATTTATCTGCCCCAACGGTCCCAACCGTTGGGGATACTATCTGCCCCAACGGTTACAACCGTTGGGGCAGGCCTTCTTTGTAGTAGTATCTGGCATTTTGAAAAAGACTTACAAATAGTAGCGCTGCAACATGCGGACCGGGGGCTGTTCAGGTTATTACGTTTCAATGGTTTCATGTCTCATGGCGTTATTGAAATCCGAATTGGATTTTTAATAGGATACTTATTGATTCTCAATGATTATACACAATATATATGCAGGTTGTTGCTGTTGGCGTCACCATGCACATGGTTAGTTGACTGGACTGAGGGCGTCGACTCTTCCTTAATAGTGAGTACTTTTGGAGCAAAAAATTCTTACACTGTCCACGTTATATAATTATGACAACTAGCAAAGAATAAGGGTGTTTTCTTATGCAGATTTCAAGGGCTGGCATGACCCTTCGCCTTCTTGTTGTTGCCATTGCGTTTTATTTGAGGGTTTGCTTCGTGCCATTTTGGGAAAATTTGAACTTTCGAAAAATCAATATTTGAATTTTGTGAATGCACTTTTGTCTCTTTATACTTTCGTTTCGTTCGTATGGAGCTATATTATTAGATGATTCTAGATTCTACTTTTTACTAAGTATCATCTCATTGGTTGGACTTCTGGTAGGTCTGTGTTTGTGTAACTTATTCTACTTTTTTGTATAACAATGTGCTCGTTGATCGATTTACATGCTTTCAGGTTTATGTGATCATTTCTTTCTCTCTTGGGATTGGAGATCATCATGTCTAAATTATGTAAATGCTACTTTTCTTAGTTTCCTATATGTAATGTATATTGTGACCGGATACGTATTTTTAGACGTTTGTGGACTTTTGGTTCGTCTTAGACATGTTTGGACTTGAATGCATTTATTCTTTTCATGTGTATTGTATCTGTATCCTATTTATAATTTTATTGCTTTGTGGATGGATATGTGATGTGATTTATATATTACATGTGATTGTTAGGTATGGATATGTATGAATGTTGAATATATAATGTAGTTTGATTGTTGGACATGACGATGTGATATATCAATATTCAGGATTTATATATGTATTTCTATACAGGAAGCGAACTGATTCGTGCAACATTTTTTTTGTGCATTAAAAAAATATTAGTGATGGATCACCCCGTCAGCAATGCTCATTGATGATGAATTTTCATGTGTCGCTAATGATTCCTGTCGCCATTAAACCCCATTGCCAATGCCCAATGGCAATGGTATTCCTTTTCACCAATATGCATTGAAACACGGTGATGAGAAGATACTCGTCACCAATGCCCATTGGTGACAGATTTTGTGGCATTGGTGGTGGATTGACTCGTCATGAATACCATATTTCCTACTAGTCTTTGCACATGCTTTTTAAGTGGAAGCTTAAAGTTTTTTTAATTACAGTTTTCCTATACCAAACTTGAACTGATTTTCGTAATAATTACCTATCTTTTTTAATAAAAAAATTTAGATCTCTCCCACATTTTTTTAAAGTTTCTACCTAAAACAAAAAATTCTTATCCACATGTAGATGACAAATAAAACTCTAATAATTGAAGAATATCTTTTATGCATATAGATATGACAAGGCGCTTCCACGTAGAAAAAACTAGTTATTACCGTGCCATGCATGGGACTAAATCAATATTCTTGTGTGCATATTAGACTTTTGGGTAAAGAGAAATAAAAATAAGATTTTCTGGAAAGAAAAAAAAAGAATGATTTATAGAAAATTGGAAGACGAAGAATAGAGATTTCCTAGATGTGGAGGAAAAAATGATTATCACTTATTAAATGTTAGAGCCCTTAGAGTTTGCTAAGCGGCAAACATGTAACTAGGTTTTTACTTTATTAATATATTGATAAACCCTAAATAAAGAAGAAAAATTAATCTAACATGTAGATAAAAATAACGAAAATTTCCCATAAAGAAATAAGTGATAGAAATAGTGAATAAATCTTTACACACATAAATGATGCGATTAAAACCTATGCTTATATACCCTCTTTATCTTTCTCTTTCTCTGCCCGCTCTAACCCTAGCGACCACGTTGACTACTCCCGTTGGTGCCGACCCTATTGCGGCGACACCATCCTTTTTAGCGACGTATAAGTGTTTTCTGTTGATTATTTAACTATGGTTAGATTAGTCATCAACTTAACATAGTTGTCTATCGTTTTACCCTCAATTATTCCCTTCCAAAATAATAAAATTATGTATTTCTCTCTTAAAGAAAATGGACTTTTGGACAAGAATGTGACCATTGTAGTACTGACAAATTCAAAATTTTGTTCTAGTGATGTCCCCGTATAACTTAGTAGTGTTCAATCCTAATTCTTAAAGTGCCATAAGTAGCAGAGCAAATAAAAGCAAACTATTCAATAGTGTCATGTGATATAACTTAGCACTACTTGTTGGAGGAGGTAGTTCGAGTTTTGATTTTTTTTTGAAAACGCAGGTAGGGTAACATAACCAGCCAAGTCCTCAACAACAATCTGTCTCAAAAACAAAAGGACAAAAATAGACCAAAAACAAGAGGACAAACAATCAACCGACTTAGCTAGGGAATGAGCAACACCATTACTAGTGCGCCTTACATAAGAAACTTTAGATCAGTCAGTAATACTCAGACCAGCGTGAACTTCATCTGCAATAGGAGCCAAGGAAGCAAAAGGATAAGGAGAGTCCACCAAGGAGACAACCTTTAGAGAGTCAATTTCCACCACTAAAATCCTCCAGTTCATACGCCGAACAAAGCGAATGCCTTCCAGGACAGCCAACAGCTCCGCATGATCCACAAACATAGGGCCCCTGATCCCCATAGAGTGGCAACCAAACACATATCCACGGTGATCCCGAATAACACCTCCCAAACCAATAATATCTCCTTCCAGAGGAACATCAACATCTGTGTTGAGTTTCAGCAAACCAGGAGCAGGGGGATACCAAGCAGAAGACCATTTGGAAGGGGTGACAATGTCATGGGAGAGACCTCTAACTCTATCCTCTTCCTCCGCAAAATAGAGAATCCGAGTCACCAAGACCGAGGCCTCTCTAACACCGCCACCATAATAGCGCATATTCCTTTCCCCCCATATAAACCACATGGTTGTGAAAGCCAAAGCCAGAGAGTCCCCAGGGCAAACAGAGGTGAGATGGAAAAGGAAATCACCACAAGACGTGCCTCGAAAACCATTAATCACTTCCCAAAGATCTAAGAACTCTCACACTAAACGAGCAAAGGAGCAGACGGTGAAGATATGAAGGACGGTCTCAAAGGCAGCAGAGCAAAGGTGGCAACTAGGGGGCACAGAGATCCTCCTGCGAGATAAACCAGCTGAAGTGGGGAGAGCATCATAGAATAGACGCCAAAGGAACACTCTAATCTTCAGTGAGATCTCCGCATGCCAAATCAAGGACCACCACCTCGAGTTTTGTTTTTAAGCATGTTTGGACCTTGACAAAGGAAAGGGTATAGTTTAAAATACTATCAAAGCGTTAAGTTTAATGGATTATTCTCCCAATCCACACAGCAATTTACTGTAGGCCTAATTTGCAGCAAGCTATATGAATTGAGGGACTAAATAGTAATATCAATGATTTGATGCTCTAATTTAGTAAGGGACCAAAACCCAATTTATTTGAAGAAAATTTACTAGTTTGGCAGATTAAAAATCATCAATGTAATTAATATTGAACTTCGTAATTCTATTGAGATCAAGACAAGAGAAGTCAATGTAGTTAATATTTCAAGAAAATTAAATTAAGGCCTAAAATCGAAATATCCCAAAAGGAGAGCGCCCATCACTAAGACTGGAAGTCTAGAAGGTATGTATATAAATTAAAACTGGTGGAGGGTGTATATGCTAAATACCGATTTCTATACCTTCCACTGTAAGTTGAAAACTTTCCACACGATTTCGCAAACCGAGCTCTCAAATGGCCGTCTACCTCGTTCCTTCAACCTTCTATTGGATTTTTGTCGTGTATAATTTTCCAAAATTGTCCTCATTGTCTACGTGTCACTCTGCATTCGACTCTCTCTCGCCTTTATACCTCTCTCTCTCTCTCTATCCGGTTCCATTCACCATCCATCTCTCTTGCTCCTCTCCCCTTAGGTAAAGAATGGTGAGATTTCTATCATCTTTTTCATCCTAATCTCCCCAAAATCTCATCTTTTTAATGCCCAGTACCTTTGATTTTTGGTTGCTTTGTTAGATAGTTTACATTGCTACGTTTTGGCCATTTGTCAGTATATTTTCTGATCTTTTTTGGATAGTTTTTGGTTATATTAAAAGGTCAGTTTAGGTGTCTGTCTCTGATCTCAGTTTAAATAAGTAATAAAGATGAAAATTGATTATTTTCTGATCATCTATTTTGTTACTGTGATCAGTTGTTGAAGTCTCGTGCATCGTATGTGAAAGAATTTATGCTATTCTATTGATTATGGATGTATTAGTGATGTTTAGATAAATTGTATGTAGATCATCTCGGTAATCTCAGTAATTGGTAATCTTTTATGAGGGTTTATCTGTGACATGTTTGCATGCTTTAATTCGTTAAGATCCTTTGAAAGAAGGAATCAGTTTACTATAAAATAGCATTTTAAATGTTAAGGCGTATACCTAGAATATATCATGTAATTTATTGTGTCGTTCAATGGGTAATTGAGAGCTAAACTCAACAGATCCTTTGATATTATTTGGGATATTGTATAAACTGATCTGATTGATGTACGGTATTTTTAGGCATTACGTGGACTAAATTTGTCGTGGAGCATAAAAATTATGATGTAAACTTATCGACTTTCAAATGTCGTATCTTCAATAAACACGTGATCCTTTTAGCACGTTTTCTTTTTTCAAAGTGTATAGAAAATCTTGATCTGATAAGTTGATCTTTATGGACGTGGAACATGCACGAATATAGTTTGGACACGTGTAACTTCATAGTTTGTCGATATTGATATTTTTTGAAGAAATGAAAAGTGGAAATTATCAAAGTTCACTCTATTTTAGGGTCGTGCCATTTGCGATCTCTTTGAATTTGCAGATATCATGGAGTTATTTTCGTCCGGAGGGTCTTGTTTATTTTAGGTTTTTAATGTTTTTATCTAATTTTTTTAGAGGATGACAATTTCACAAGGAAAATGGGTGAATAATTCAGGGAATCTTTATGTTAGTAGTTGATGGGTAAATTTTGAATTGTGATTTTGGTGAATGCGAACTAGAGGTGTTGAAAATACTTTTAAAAGAGAGAGCTCTTTCTCATCATATTTCCATTTTTTGAAATATGATGGAGGACTATATATCCTGTTAGTTCACTCTTTTAATATGGGTAATAGACTCCAGGTTCAATTAGGAAACAAGAAAAGCAATTTAGAGATAACTATATTCTATATATTTCTGGCAGGACTTAGTTATATGTTTTAACATGTATAGAAGTAGTCTTGGTATAATATTTATACTAGTACGCGATGCCTGCATAACAAAAAGATGTGACAGCATTTTTGGAATGATCTTTACGAAGGTAGTAGCATTTATATTGATTCTCAAATTCTAGGAATTTTAGTTATGTTTTGCAAGTATGAATACATTTTGTTTGGTTGTTTGAAGCATGAGGGTATTTTTGGTATTTTTGAAAAACTGACACACAAATAAAAAAGTTGTCTTTTCTTGAATATATAGTATAGATATAACATTAATTAACTAATACGAAGAATTAAGTAATGACGGATGCCCCAAAATTAGCTCTAATCATTAATGTCATTCTATTTCTTGCTATCAGTTTGTACTATTGCCACTGACACCTAAGAAATCCTTTGAAGATTTTGAATAGCCGAGAAACTCTTGAAGTACTTCTTTTGGTGCTTTCATGGATGTACAAAGTGAAAGAAATTGGTAAAATGTAGTTTGTTTCATGTTTTAGAATATTCTCTCGGTACTTTCCTGGATGTAAAAAGTGAACGAGGATGAAACATTAATTTGGGGAGTAGTCACAGAGTTGAAGGTGATGATTAATTGATGCAGTATGTCAGTATGTTTTTAATAATATGATGTTTCCTTATGTCTAGAAAAACTATTATTTATTTAGGCATCTTATTTGTCTTGCCTTTATGTCTTGGCTGCACGAGCATAACAAAGGTAAGCTTCATTATGTTTGGTTGGAAGGATTGTTCTTGCAAATATTGGTCCTTTTTGGTGTCATCATATTTCCTCATTATTTTTTTAGGGAACATTTTTATTTCATTTAGGGGAATTTGATATTGTGCATGACTTGCCATGGCAAGAATTGTGCAGAAGCAGATTGTGAAAGAAAACATACAAAAGGGCATGGCAAGAATTGTTGTGTCAATAAGGTGTTCAATTAGACACATCTTTGCAATCATAGGTGTCCATATTGTCAAGCTAGTCATTCAAGGTTTGATCATTTGGCTGGACAACACATACTAGATTGACATGATCTGAAGATGAACTAATTAAGTTTATTAAAAAAATGGTGTATTCTCTTTTAAGGAGTTAAGAGTGCCACCAACATTCTACGAGCTAGTATGCCTTGTAACATGACAAGGTATTGCACCGCATCGACACTTATTTAGAGGTGCTGAATATACATTAGACACATAATATGTGTTTGGAAAAAACGAATATGAGGTGACAACCTATTTTACTAAATGAGCTATCAAGAGATATGGTAGTGGTGATACCCATTCTGCTAGTCACATTGAACAGATGGAAGTCACGAGCCCTACCTCTTGGTAGCTCATTGTACTAAATGAGGTGGCGACTCAAGCACAATATCACCTATGCGTGTGTGTGTGTGTTGAGCGTGAGCGTGTGCACATGGATGTGTGCAATCATTTCCCAAGCAATCTTGTTAGTATAAATCCTTCTTATAAATATTCTCTATTTTCTAAGTAGATATTGTAACTGTGAAGTTTAAGTACCCAAATGATGCGGGCATCGATGTCTTAGCTAGCTTTTGTCATTGTTTCTCTTTTGATGTTTTTTCTCCTGATATGAAGTAGGATATAAGATACTTCGTTTTCATGTACTTGCCTTTTTTTCTCCCTTATTCTGCCGTCAAACTGATGCCCCAGCTACATGATGTCCGTAGTAGTTCCCTATTTTGGTTAGTTTTCTTTTTTCCTTTATGAATTATGAGTTTTTCATGCAATTTATCTGGTCTTTTTAAACATACTAGTGGAGATACTTGCAATTTAATGGTACTAACATGTGTTGCTTAGTGATAGCTATTTACTTCCCTTCTATGTTTCTCATCCTTACTGATTTTTTCCCTCAGTTTTTCTCGAAATATTTGAATATGGAATTTGGAACTGATTCTCTGATCCATTTATTATAGAATAGAATCCCCATGGATCAGTATGGCCAGCCTGCAATGGTGCTCTCCTTTGCCGAACAACTCCAGGCATTGCAGCTTTTCCTTGAATGAACCAGATATCAATAAGTTTTTATTTAATGCTTTACATCTCTGCAAATTATAAGTTTGGCCCTGAAAAGAACTTCTTCGTTGGACCAATGTGAATCACAGTCTAATTTCTTATGTATAATTTCTTTGAAGTTAACAAGTTCTGCCTCTTGAGAAGCTATTTACGTGATAAATGAAGCTTATTTATCGGTAATTTAATGGATTACTCAAAATGGATTCTCAACCTAGTTCGAAACACTGGCCACATTTATCTTTTTCTGTTGAGAAATAAATTGAAGGAGGCACAACTGTTAGAGTCAGAACTTACCTTTTCTCTTACTTCCTGATAAGCATTACCCATGTTCCCCTTCCTCATATACAGTAAAAGATTTTGAAGTTATTCCCTTTGCATTTTCTTTTAGATTTCTACTTAATAAAGAATGTGAGGTTTCTATCTTTCCAAGTGCATCCTACCTATTCTGAAATATGAATATTGAAGGAATTTCAGCATCAGCAGCAGAATCAGGAAAAACAGGCGGCGGTCGACCGGTCCGGTCGACCGCATTCGTGCACAAGGGTTCCTGTGCGTCTGGAAGGAGGTCGGTCAATCGGCCCGGTCGACCGCAGATGTTTCGGTCGACCGGTGCGGACGACCGACGGCTCTCTGGATTTTTGGGGCTTCTGCTGGATGGTGATCGGTCGACCGGGCCGGTCGACCGGAATTGATCGCGGTCGACCGGGCCGGTCGACCGACGAAGCGGATATCAGTTTTTCAGGTTTTCGACCCGGTTCGTTTTGTAAGTTCTATATATACCTAAACCTGTTTGTTTAGGGTAAGGCAGGACGAATTTGAGCAGCCAAAGAGAGAGAATCATTGCATCCAATTGGGAGAGAGCTTTGAGAGATCTAGAGCTTTGTTTTAGGGTTTGGTCTGAGAGATTTGTAACCCTATTTGTATTCTCTTGATTTCTAGTGGAAGAACTCCCCCCTCCTTGTCCCGTGGACGTAGGCAACTTGCCGAACCACGTAAATTGTGTGTTCTTGCTGTGATTGTGGTTTGCATATTGTTTGTGGTTTAGTTCTAGTTATTGTTCGTGTTGCCCTAGAAAGCTTCCGCCGCGCACAACAAATATTGTTTTAAAAAGATGTTTTTCATTTTTATAATCATTTTCCAAGCAATCATGGATCAGTCCTCTTATGCATATTCTCTCTTTTCTGAGTACATATGGTTGTAAATTATGAACTTTTAGTACCCAAATCATGCTGTCATCAATATATTCTCTTTTGTCGCTATTAACTCTTTTGATGTTTTCTGATATGAAGTAGGATATAAGATCTTTCATTTTCCTGTACTTGCCTATTTTTGTTTTCCTATTCGGCAGTCACATTATTATGCCAACTGCGTTATGTCAGTGTTTCTAGTTTCTATAGTTTGGTTACCGCCGGCGCCGCGGCCTCGGAGAGTCTTACCGACACGCCCCCCCCCCCCCCTGAATATATTGAGTTTTAAACACGCAGTGGAACAACACAGCATTACTTAGTACTAAAGGTGTACTTAGCGTAGCTATTCGGCGTTTACTTCATATTATTATATCCAAACAATTGACTAATGCCTTCTTAGGAATTTGAAACTGATTCTTTGCTCCATTTATTTTAGTACCAAATCCCCATAGAACAGTACTATGGCCAGCCTGCAAAGGTGCTCTCCCTCGCCGAGCAGCAGCAGGAGATGCAGCTGCATGCATTCTGGACAAAGCAGATGGTTGAGATAGAGCAGCTCAAAGAATTCAAGAACTACAGCCTCCCACTCGCCAGGATCAAGAAAATTATGAAAGCTGACGTAGACGTCAACATGATTGCAAGTATGTAATGCCTACAGCTGTATTTGTTTAAAAACTTTGAACACGGATATTGGTCAAATATTTATTTATCAAATAGTATAATGTATTTATCTGATTAGGGTTTAATTGCTCTTTATACTCTAAAGTTCAAATTTGCCCAAATGATACCCAAGTTTATAAGCTGTGGTTAACCCTTTTAACTTAACAGAGAGGGCAATACCCATTTTCTTGTTAGTAGTTGTAGTAATATTATTATTTGCAATTCAGGGTTTTCTTTCCAATTTTTTTTGCAAAGCCCCCTTAGTCAAACGATTTATAGTTTTTGCTAAAATATTGATAAATATCACTTTTTTTGCAGGGCTTCCTTTTCATAGAAACCACCTCTGAAATAGGGTCATCTTATAGAAATCACCTTTGATTGTCAATTTATACATAAACCGCATTTATACAATTTTTTGTTGCAATTAACCACATGTACTCACTTTTTGAGGTCAAGTGTTTTTGGTTTTGCTGTAATAATTAGTTGCCAAATACCATGTATATGAGAGAGATGATCCTTAATGGAGTTAGCTGGGATCAATTACCCACAAAAATTAACTGTAAAATGAGCTCAGGTGGTTAATTGCAATTAAAAAACCATTTAAAGTTAGTTTACATATAAATTGAATGTTGAAGGTGGTTTCTATAGAATGACCCTATTTAAAGGTGGTTTCCACAAAAAACCCTATTTTTTCAACTTAATATGTTGAATTTATGGTATTTATTTGAGCATATATATGGGGGAAAAATCTTTATAGCAAAGAGTGGGTTCCCACAACAAATGCTTCCTGCAATACAACATTTGCTACACTTTCTTTTTGTCGCAAACCAAACAAACCCTTAAATTTTTTCTCCCCAACCAAATTTAAACAAATAATTTGCCAAATAATAGTGGAATTATGTGATTGATTCTTTGATCAATTGTAGGTGAGGTCCCCGTCGTGTTCGCTCGAGCGACCGAGATGTTCATACTGGAGCTAACAATTAGGGCATGGAACGTTGCTGCAGGACACAAGCGCCGTACTATGCTGAGGAACGACATCGCTGTAGCCATCGCGAAGACCGACATCTTCGACTTTTTAGTTGATATCGCACCTGTTGAAAATACCAAGACCAAGGAGGTTAATGAGCCTGAATCAGTTCCCTACCGCCCTTTCCCTCCTCAGCCTGAGAACCCAGCAGCAGGGATGGTTATAGTGTCGATGATGGAAAAACCGGTGGACAATTTTCAGTGGGGGAATGATAATGGTTTCGACTTTGGGGATGGTTCCAAGAATAATGGTGAGTGAGAAGAAAGTTTATGGTTTTATGCGTGTATGTTTTATTGAAGTTAAGTTGTTGTTAAGGGGCTTATGGGGTTTATGAGTGGGAAGGAGAGAAGTTTGTCTACCAGTGCTCTTTATAGAAGTGAGACATTGTTAAAAGGTAAGGGGAGTTTTGTGTTTTGTTGAATGTCCAGTGCTGTAACTTGAAGTTGCTAAGTTATAGTAAAAAGTTTAGTAAGTACATTAGCGTATTATAGTCTTTAATGGATATTTGTTTGATAGAGAAGGTTGACTTTGCTATTCTGCTGACAAGGGAACTCTATTTTCAAAGAGTTTCCGAGCTTGTATGTTCTAGTTACATGGGTTAATTGTGGATGGACACCCTTTGTAGTTCTGTTGTTGCAGAAAGACCTCCTAAGTGAATTTTTTTTGACTCTTTTCGCCTCTGGTCTATTTGTCGGAAGAACAATATTATCTTTCTCTGAGGGAAAAAGAGCACCAAAAAAAAAAAAAGCAGTTAGGGGCATATCTGCAACAATAGAATAGTTACATAAAAGTGAGATAGAGGTTTAGCAAGCAATGGAAGAGTAGGAGGCTGAAGAGTAGAAGCTTTGATTTTGCTTCAGCAATCAGTTAATGAGCCGAAGTTTATGAAAAGTTGAAGAGAATGTATTGTTCTTTTGTTTCAGCTTCACATCATGTGACTTGTAAAGCTTAAAAAGAACTTTGCTTTGTCTTCGACTTGTAAGCATTAAAATGAATTCTGCTTTGAGTTTTTGATTGTGATATGAAGGGTTAAAATTTTTGTTGCTCCTTTATCTGATAATTATAAGGAAAAGAAAAGGGAATGGAATTGACATGGATTTTTGAGGTTTTCTTTATTATTATTATTATTATTATTATTATTGTGATATGAAGGGTTTTTTTTCTTTTTTCTTTTTTTTGGTTCTTAAGGAGGAAATGATAATGTTTTATAATCGTGCAACTATAATATATATTGATGGCTGCTATCAAACAGTGAAATGAAAGAAGTGATTAAGTTAACGGAGGTCCTCTAACTCTCTGAATGTCTAGTTCTGGAGTAGGTTGTTCTTTCCTGCACAAGTAGCAAATCGTAAGAGGGCGAGATTTGGTTCTCCGGTTGTTTCTCCGACGATCAAGTCAGTGATTTTCTTGAGTGGAGAAGTAAATGAACTGCAGTAGTTCTTAAGCATAGTGGGTAGAGGTAAAGATCTTACCTTATTATTAAAAATAGTACCCTTATTTGTAGCGGTGGTAGAAAGGTACAATGGTAACTTCAGCTGAGTATGGGATGACGGCCACGTCAGCCTCTGCTTTACAGGTGCCGGCCAACGAGTGGAAGAGAGATCACTTCGGTATTTAATGTGAAGTGCTTGGGGGTGTGCGGTGCGATGTGGTTCGATGTGTCATAAAGACTATTGAGGGCAGAGGAAAAATGACGCTCATAATGCATTTAATGACATTTATTGCGAGGTGATTGATTGCCAGTGTGCGGGAGGGGGCTCGAGCATTGAGGTATTTTGTCGCCTATCTACTCCTCCAGTGGTCGAGAAGTACCGTCCTTTAAGTCATCTTTGCAAGATGTGGGCCGAATGGCCTGCCGGTAGGTCGATCGGGGAGTCACCCAGCTAAGTCGACTACGCAACGCCATTGATGCAGTCCTCGCGAGATGTCCGGCGAAAGGCGATCAGAAGTATGTCGTATCAGGGAGTCTATCTAACCAGGGGGATCGACAATGTAATGCCATTTAGTCGCCCTCCGTGAGATTGTCCGACGTGTCCCTAATGTCGTCCGAGCTAGGTCTTTGGTTATTTTGAAAGAATTAATGAAATATATGAGATATAATCGTGGGACACTTGTTCGCTCTTGATTGGTAGATTACTTTCAACACTAAAATGACTAACAACATAGAATTGTCATAGAGGGTCTAATATGTAATAATTGTAATACAAATATATATAGTAGTAGATATATAAATATATATATAATATATATATATATATATATATATATATAAGTATATATATAGTTATATATATATATAAAAAAAAAAAAAAAAAAAATAATAATACTTATATTAATTTATAGTATTATATATATTAGTATAGTGGGTATGACTTGGTACCAGACAACAAATTTTGTGTTTGGTATGAGGTGGCACAATCCCTCCACCATTCAAATAGGACACAAATTCACATGTTGAGGAGTGCATGGGAAATGCAACCATGGTATACTTGGATACCAAGCAATAAATTTTTTATGCACTGGTAGTGATGTGCATAAATCCATACCACATCATTCAATGGGCGACAACATTGCCACATGGTTTGATGAGTGTAATGTGGATATGCAACCATTGAATGGTGGTGAGATTATGTCACCCTCACTACCAAAAGCATAACTTTTTGTGCATTGGTCACCAAAACATACCTATTTTTCTCATATTATATATATATATATATTATATACATATATATTTATAGTACCTATATATATATATAGATAATTATATCATACTGAGGAAATATGAGTATTGCTTGGATCCAAGCAAAAATTTGTGCTTGATAGTGAGATGGATATTATCCTCCACTCATTCCAAATGGGGGGACCACATTCACTATGGGTTTGAATTGAGTCCCCCCCAATTGAATGAGTCGATGGGAATGAGACACCTTACTACCAAGCACAAAATTTATGCTTGATATCCATGTTATACCCTTTCTCTCTCTCTCTCTCTCTCTATATTATAGTATATATATATGATATTATATATATAATATAAATATATAATATAACTATATATTATATGTATATGGAAAACTGGAGAACGCTGGCAGCATTCTCTTCACATGCGCTGCAGGGTTTTTTTAAAAAAGAGTCCCACTTCCTCGTGATCTCCTCTCCTCTCTCTCAATCTCTCGATCTCGGCTCTCTCACTCTCCTCCCTCTCTCAATCGTCTCCTCGACCTAACTTCCCCAGGAGAAATCCCGCGAGCTGCTGACCCTTTTTCCCCCAACGTCACCCTTCCAACCTCCTCCCCTCCCCAACCCCAGACGCAACTCCGCAAAAAGCCTAATCCCCAAAACTAGAAGCCCAGATCTTCTCAAATCTCGTGAAGCCATCCCTCCTTCTCTCAATCTCTCCTTCTCTCTCTCTCCCTTGTCTCTCCTCTCTCGATCGTGAACCAGATCTAGCTTCTCAATCCCTGACAAAGAACCTCCCTCCTCCCTCTCTCAACGGACGGACGCTGAGCTCTGTTAGAACCCTAGATGGGGTGATTAGGGTCTTATGCTAATCTAATCCGATTTTTTGCTAATTAAAATTAATTAACAAGTTATCCTAGCAAGTATGAAATACAACAAAAATATAAGCTAGGATAAGCAATATGAACAATGAGATATATCCTATATGATAAAATATATATGCAATGATATATATAAACTAACACAAGGGAAAACAATAAACATAAACAAGATAGTGGGTGATATAAAAAAAACGAGACAATGGTGAATTAAGCAATGAGCACAAATAAGAATGAACGCCAAAGCACACTCAAACACATAATATGATCACGGAGTTCGGACCTTCCGTCCTATGTCTCCGCTCCCCACTCCCGGGGAGAAATCCACTATCACAATCTGGTTTGGAAGCCGAAACTTCTACACACCTCACACTCGGTTTTCTAGCTAACCGAAAACTTTACAATCGACACTCTTGCAATCACACTCTACACCCTCACAAGTGTTGGACCTAGCCGTGTCTCCCTTAAGTGCTCGGTTACAGCCATTCCCTAGGTTCGTCAACCGACGCTACTCCTCTTAGGATGATCCCCGACTCTCACCACACACTCCTCTCGGTGTACAAGTGTATTACAAAGTGTATCTCACAATAAGCACAAATACAATAAATTATTGTTCTCTAATATGGATGAGAACACAATAAAAGCTCACACTCAATTGTTACAACTCTCACCAACCCAAATATACTATGTATGAAAATACAATAAGCTCAAGTGGGTGTGGGTGTGTGTGTGTAAACAATGAGTAAATCAAAATTAAAATCAAACTAAACTCAATTAAAATCTAGCATATAGAAATTATGAATAAAACAATAAATAGCTGAAATAGAGTTTAGAGATCATTCTCTGAATAACAAGATGGAGAGATGAAGATTGAAGCCCAAAACAAGCAGATGATCTCCTCCACTTGTGAAAACTTCTTCACAAACAAAACAAACACTAAAACACACTTAAACCCTTATTTAAAACTTGTTTAAAAACTTCTTGAATGCTTGTTAAGAACTGAGATCAAAGGGGTATTTATAGCCTCCCAAAAACCTCAGCCAAAACCCCAAGCAAAAGACAAAAAACCCCACAGAATCGGAAATGAGATTCTGTACAATATAGCCGTTGGGCTGAACGGCGGTCGACCGCGAGCAACAAAAACAACATAAAAGACTCCAGAGACTTCGGCGGTCGACCGTGGCGGTAGTCGACCGTGAAAGTCTCTCCTGCCCACTATGCAATAAACTCAGTCGCGGTCGACCGTGGCGGTCGACCGTGAACTGATATATGAAAATGAAGTTCTGAAAACTATTTTTCTGATTTTAAAACACTGTTTAAAAATATCAAATAAATTCCAAAAAATATAAAACTTTGGGGAATGATTGTAGACATGATAATAAACATGCTCCAATAACTGTTTTCCAAAAAGGACTTGCCAAATGAAAAATTTCATTATTTTACAAACTAGTCCAAAACATGAAAATGTAAACACATGAGTTTGATGTTTTGACCTAAACCAACTTTTGAAACTTTACAAAATGATTTTATAGACTTGAAGAAAGATATAAACTATTGTTATGAAGTCTATAAACAATGAATGTAGTATTTTATCAAAATACACGTATAATGCACTAAAACATGATTTTATTGAACTAACTAAAATTGATATTGATGAAATCATATATATGCATATAAGTATGAAACAAAAATATGTTTTCTAATTATATTAAATTGTTTCATAGTAAAACTTAAAAACTATCAAACCAAAACATATATGTATATATATAACTATATATATACAAAACCAAAACGTGTATGTGTGTATATGATTGAGCTTAAAGTACTAACACACATAATATAAACTCCTAAACTAAATTACCCAAGCTTGATTGGTCTTCAATATACTTGACTTGGTAATCTCGCGGATGAAGCTTGAACTTGATCTTTAACT